GGGTGTTTGAGATTTCATTATATTTCTCTCTGCTTTTGTGTATATTTGAATATTTTCATAATAAAAGAGGCAAATTAATTTTTATACAGTCTATAAAATTGGGGAAATAATCATATGTAAGAGCTCAATAATCCTATCAAGCACCATTACTATAATTGACATTTATAGAACTCCACCTAACTACAGAATATACATTTTTTAAAAAGCATATGTTTGCCAAGGTTGACCATATTTTGAGCAATAAAATAAGGTTCAAAACATTTCAAATGATTGAACTCTTATAAAGTATGTTTTCTGAAGACAATGGAATTAAATTAGAAAAACAACAAAATCTAGAATTGCAGTAATTAAATAACATCTAAATAATAGGACAAAGAAGAAAATATTTTGAATTGATTGGTAACAAAAATATATCAGAACCATATGGTACTGGCCTAGTCACGGAAGTCTGGCAGTCTCTCAGCTAAAGCCTGACTTAAACATTAATGATGATTTTATAAGCCTCAGTATAACAACATCCTCTGTGGATTCTTTTACTTCTTCCCTTTTCAAATGCATAATTACACCATTCAGAAACAAAGAAGGCCTAAGGTTTGGTATTGTGCTTTGAAGATCCCAGGTTACCAAAATTTTTCTAATGGGGAGGTTTATTCCCATCTGCAGGCCATAAAGCACTAAGACAAAAGGCAGATAGAGTTTGGAAGCCAAAGTTGTCCTACAAATAAATGTTTGGCTAGTCAAGACTAGGCTGACTTGAAGCGAAATCATATCCTTATTTGGGTTCAAAGACAAATTCAAAGTTTTCTTGTCTTTCTTATTAATTCAAGCAATTTCTGTTTAATTAAATACTTAGTCTCATTATGATTAGAATTAGTCCTTAGTATAACCAGATGTCCTAAATTGCCACTTGATAATACCTCTCAACAGCTGTCCAAAGTTCGCCTGTCTATGATAGTTTGTGATAGTGATGTTGCAGTGTTGTGTGATACTGATGTTGCAATTTGAAACTTCATTTCAGTTGTAGATAAAATCAGCAAACTTCTCAGTAACCTAGAGCTATTGAATGTGTCTTTTAAGTGTTTACCCGTTGATAGGACTTTTGACTAGGACTGAAACATTAAGATTAGTAGCAGTTTAGTGAACTTAATGTTTCCTAGCTGGTAATGCAGATTCTTTCCTGTTTTACAGTTGAGAACATGGTAACTGTTGGAAAAACCATTCTTGAAAGGAATAATTTCACTGACTTCACAAATGTGAGGTATGAATACTTCAAGGTAGAAACCAAATATACATTATAAACTTTTTTGAAATGTTTCTTGGAAAATGGAAGGAGCAGTGTCAGAGTTTGTGGTTTAAATGCAATTTTCCTGAAAGTGAGAATATAGTTCATTGGTAGTATAAATTTAATAAAATTTCTTTCTCTCATGTCTCAATAACTTCCGATAATCTGCACTTACAGTTTGAGTAAACAAGTATTAATACATACGTGCAGTAGGTAGGCAAAATAGTTACAAATCTACTTTTCTTTGTTCGATATGAGCATTCCTATAGAATTGTAAGTTGAATTGTCTTAGAAAAACTTTATGTGGTTTAAAAATACATTATTATAT